TTCTATCTGGAAAGGAAGGGGGTCTTCCTTCACTGCTTTAGTGGTATCTGGCACTGTCCTTTTGAGGTGTACTTCCAAGAGGAAGGATGCAAGCTTGGCACTGATTTTTTACTGCCTTTCTGGGGGGCATGTGATCTTTCCTTAAATCTGGATGATTTCCTTAGGACATCTTGTGAGGTGAGTGAGACCAGCTGGTGTCTTTAAGTGTTGCAAATGGATCTAAGGATTGCTTCTCCTGGGTATGCTCTTTCTTATCATTGCATTTTACCAATTTAATTCCTCCAGGTGCTCTAGCACCCTGCCTGATTTGTAATTCCAGCTTGCAGGTATTTTTAACCTAATGATTGGTATTTAGGGCAGCTTTTTGCAAGCAGAGAAGCTTTTTGTATTTTTGTACAGGTAATCCTTGACTTACAACAGTTCATTTAGTGACCATTCAAAGTTACAATTACACTGAAAAGGTGACTTCTGACCATGTTTCGCACTTACGACCATTGCAGCATCCCCACAGTCACAAGAGGCCAGGCAAAGAGAAGTGCCCCTGGATGGGAGTGATGTTGAATTGGCCACGCCCAGCCAGTCACATGACCACCAAGCCATGTCCAGCCAGTCACATGACCACCAAGCCATGTCCAGTCAGTCACATGACCACCAAGCCATGCCCACCAACTAAGCCATGCCCACAGAACTGGTTGCTAAAAATTTGATTCCCACCCCTGGCTTCAACCTCAAATTGTCTACCATGGACCTCACTCCATTCCTAAGAGTCCTTAAAGAGGGTTTGCATTAGCACACCAGCATGCCTACCGTTCCTGGCTTACTATCCCCATTTATCTGTATTTACTCCCTTTGTTCTTGTTTATTTCCATATTATACTTGTTATCTCGTACATGTTTGTCAAGCAAATAAAATAAATAAATAAAACTCCTAATTCTAACTTTGAGGATTGGCTAATCATTAGTCTTGACTCTATTGGATGAGATGGACAAACACCACAGTCAAAAGCAATTTAGGTTTCAAAAGCTGGACATTATCAGACCCAACAAGGACATGTATGTTTCTACATAATGGTTGTATGCATGTGACGGAAACATCAGTAAGATACTTACTCATGCAAGAAAGGGTGAAAACATTCCATGACCTTAAATCATGAAGGCAGAAGAAAGTGGGGGCGAAAAGGTAGAAGCCACAAGAACACAACCACATTAAATGGCTATTACAAGATGGGTATATCACTGAGAACCAGTTTGGTCTAGAGGTTAAGAACCAGATTAGAAAGCAGGAGATTGTGAGTTCTAGTCTCGCCTTAGCCCTGAAAGCCAGCTAGATGACTTTGGGCCAGTCATTCTCTCCCAACCCATCTCACGGAGCTGTTGTTGTGGGAAAAATAGGAGGAAGAAGGCATGTTGGATATGTTCGCAGCCTAGACCTATTTGTAAAAAAATTAGGTTGGATATACATTAATTAAAACATGTAAAATATCCACAAAGAGGCCATGAAAAGAATGGAGAGATGCTATTTCATGAGTACTGTGTTTGATACCGTTGTGTATTTTGATATTCGATATCTATATTCTCAGGGGACGCAGTGGCTCAGTAGCTAGGACTCTGAGCTTGTCGATCAGAAAGGTCGGCAGTTTGGCAGTTCGAATCCCTAGCGCCATGTAACAGAGTGAGTTCCCGTTACTTGTTCCAGCTTCTGCCAACCTAGCATTTCGAAAGCATGTAAAAAATGCAAGTAGAAAAATAGGGATCCCTTTGATGGGAAGGTAACAGCCTTCCATGGGCCTTCGGCATTTAGTCATGCTGGCCACATGACAACGGAGACGTCTTCGGACAGCGCTGGCTCTTCAGCTTAGAAACGGAGATGAGCACCATCCCTTAGAGCTGGAAACGACTAGCACATATGTGCGGGGGAACCTTTACCTTTATGTATATTCTCTGTTTTGGACTTTCTATATAGCCTAATAAATCAGGCAAGGTGATATCTAATTTTGGGAGACAGGTAGCTGAGGTCATTAAAAATGTTGAACTTAACCGTAGGTAAAATGGAGAAAGAAAAGTAAGTGTGTAAAGACATGCCTAAATCAAAAAGGAAAACAGTGTCAAGAAAGCAACATTGCAGTTGCTGGCTACAATCATATACTACATCATAGCTACTTTGGTTAGAAAGTGGCAAAACCAGTTTCTAAACCAATTATTATACACAAATGGAGGGAATGGAGAAAAGGCTAGGACTGGGCTCTCCACTTTTTCAAATGGCTTCAGATGATGCTCCCCTGTCTTATGTCTAGTCTAGTGGAAAAGAGGACCAGGGGTGATATGATAACAATGTTCCAATATTTGAGGGGTTGCCACAAAGAAGAGGGGAGTCAAGCTATTCTCCAAAGCACCTGAAAGCGGGACAAGAAGCAATGGGTGAAAACTGACCAAGGAGAGAAGCAACCTAGAACTAAGGAGGAATTTCCTGATAGTGAGAACAATTAACCAGCATTTCGCTTGCCTTCAAAAGTGCTCCATCATTGGAGGCTTTTAAAAAGAAACTGGGAAGGCGCTTGTCTGAAATCTTAGACTGTCTTAGACTGTCTACTATTGACCTCACCCCTTTCCTAAGAGGCCTGTAGGGGGCGTGCATAAGCGCACCAACGTGCCTACCGTCCCTGTCCTATTGTTTCTCTTATTCTTTTATTTTTTCTTATATGTACCCATTTCATGTATTCACAACCATGTATACACTTATACTTATTATCTTGTAAACAATTGGCAAATCAAATAAATAAATAAATAAAATAAATAAATGGTATAGCATCCCTTGCTTGAGCAGGGGGGTGGTCTAGAAGACTTCCAAGGTCCCTTCCAACCCTGTAATTTTGTTACCTGTCATCGTGCTTCGTCCAATAGTAGAAGGCTTACACTCAGAGACTGAAGGACACAGCTCCCCCAAGATGCTTTTTGTTGCAGGTAATCGATACTTGTTTAATACTTGCAACTTGTCCTCTTTGGTTTAAGAAACAGAGATGTGTTCTGCCTCTAAAGTCAGCCATGAATACAGAGTAAAACCCACAGGGCCACCCTTTCCTCTTAAGTTTGCCTGTACTGTCACATTACCAACATCACCTGGGGGAAATATCTCTGACTTAATGGATTAATTATAGCTCCAAATGATATAATTTACCTTCTCCCTGGTAATATTTAACACACCCTAACATGGACAATTTCTCCTTGATGAAAGTATTGGAGGGAACAGATATGTATCACAGCCTTGGCTTAAGAGAAGCCAACAGCTGATCCTTCCTGAGACACTTAAACTGCCAAAGAGCCATCAGTAAACAGCCCAACCAAAGAATATCTAAGTCCACTCCCAACCCACACAGTTAAGTATTTAATCAGAATATAAACTGACAGCAAACAGCACTTCTTACTAGCACCGATGAGGTTACCTAGTTAGGGTAATGAAACATCTGCAAGAAAAAAAGCAAGCTCAGAGAACACCAAGGACCCTATAGTCATCCTCCTCCTCTTCCTCTCTGCACATCCCACTCCCTTCTAGCACTGATGAGGTTACCTGGTTGGATAAGGAGACGTCTGCAAGAAAACAAGCAAGCTCACAGAGCACCGAGGACTCCTCGTGTCAACCCTGAGCTACAAATATTCTCCACTTAAGTCTACCTCGTTTTGCTTTATCTGCCCGACTCTCTGCCTTCTCCAGATGGACAGATGAGAGGAAGGAACATGGCTCTCTGGTTGCCTTTGCTTCTTCTCAATAAAAGTGGGCACTTCAGCAAGTGGAAGACAGCAACATAACGATGGTGGCAGGGAGAACTGTCTCCTTTGGACATCCTCTTTAAGTAGCCTCAAAAATCTGCTACTGACATTGGTGGTGCTGCAGGGATCTCCAGAGGCTCCCCATGATAGGAGCATCCCCATATCCGTGGCTCATAATAGCACTGAGACTTATATACTACCCTCATAGTGTATACTATGAGGGTATGAGTATATATACTTATATACTACCCTCACAGCACTCTCTGGGTGGTTATAATGTCAGCATATTATTCAACCACCAAGTCTTCTTCACGTTTTTTTTAATCCATATTAAAAAAAAATGTTTTAATTGCATTTTTTTTCCAAGAATACAAATCTCTTTTACATTCTTTACAACACTGTGACATTGATGTTACACATACATTGACATGCATATATACTTTTAATCCTTCTTTCTATTAACTCACCATCTATACCATTTATCCCATACTGCGTAATATTCTGATTCTTCTCTGTCTTCCAACTCTAAAGGAAGTTTATTCATCTCTGCACAGTCCAACACTTTCTTTATTACCATTCCCTCAGAAGAGGTGCAGTCCAATTTCCAACTTTGTGCAAAGGCAATTCTAGCCACTGTCACTATATGCAGTATAATATATTTAGCCTTTTTACTAAATTCTCATCTTATTATTCCTAATTTTTAAAAGTTCAGGTTTAAGCTCGATTTGAAGACCTATTATTTCCTGTAACCAATTTCTTATCTTTACCTAATATTTCCTAGTTTCAGGGCATAACCACCACATATGAGAGAAGGTACCCTGTTTTTGTTTCCACTTTCAACATTCCGGGTTCATATTTGGATTAAAAAATTTAATGGGACACTTAGCATTCAACCCACACACGAGTCACATTATTCCCTGCATACAAAGAGATGGATTTTCAAAGGAAGGTACATTAAAATATTTCAACGTGATCCAAGCAATAATCAGAGTGAGAGGAAAAGAGCAAAGGAACCGTAATAGTCCATTGTTCTCACTCATTTTCCAAGTCAAGTCAATTTCAAGTAAAAAAAAATGCCACTGTCACTCAAAACCGTTCTTTTTGGTATGAAGTCATTAACAGGCGTGAACATTAATCCCAGCACAGAATACAAATAGTTGGTGTTCTTTTAAAAGCTGTATCTTCAATTTCTTCAATTCAGATGGTAAAAGATGGTAAAAGAAGCAAAACGCTTACCTCTGTGCTTCACTCCAGAAAGTTACGGTACATGTACAGGTGAGCAGTGAGCAACTACACCGGCTACTTTTTGAGTAATGCACGCCCCTTCTCTGCAGACTTCCAGACCCGCCCATGAAAGTTGCAATTCAGGATTTCTGACTAAGCGCAATCCTTGTATTATGCAAAGCTTTAGGATTCAATTCCAGTGGAATGATAGTCTTCAAAGCTGCTTGTCCCAATATTGTAAAATGAGAAAGAGTCAATGCTTTATGGCAGTCTTAATCAGGGAGGTAACTACAACACCGACAGACGCCAATTCTGCAGGTCACAGCTGAGTTTCTTCCAAACATAATGACATCAAATCAGGCAAAACGAGAAAACAGCACAGAACGTCAGCATTAGAACTAGAACACTAGAACTAAGACTAACACTAACTAACTAAACTAACACCAGAACTAAGGAGAAATTTCCTGATAGTCAGAACAATCAACCAGTGGAACAACTTGCCTTCAGAAGTTGTAGATGCTCCATCACTGGAGGCTTTTTAAGAAGGGACCAGACAACCATTTGTCAAAAATGGTTTGGGGGCTCCTGTTTGAACAGGGGGTTGTTGGACTAGAAGACCTCCAAGGTCCCTTCCAACTCTGTTATTCTGTATTATCTCAGCTCTTTTTGTCCTATGGTCATGGATAGAACAAGGAGAAGGATTGTAGCAAATGTTCAGGACAAGATGCATTTCAATCTAGGATTTTGTTGTTCAGTGGCTAACCAGATGCTTCACAGGAGCCTGCAAACCAGAGATGGAGACCTATTTCTTGATCTCCTATTTGTAGAAGTATTAAGAAGAACCAGATGTAAATTGCCCAAGAAGCTCCTTTTTCCAGAATGTTCTGAATGGGGAACAGATTGGTTATGGCTTCATGGAATGTGTTTTACTAAAGTAGAGAGTATTTTGCCTTTGTTATTTTTTTAAAGGAAGTGTGCTTTTCAGAAATTACAATTTTACCTAAATTTGGAATTAAGGGTGCAGTTCATCGTTCTATAAGTGTAGAACAGCAGCAATACTCTGCCCCCCCCCTTGTGTAGGGAGCATTAGGAAAAAGGTATGTGATGTTTGTCATTTGATTGGAAAGCTAACATTAGAAACAGTAAGGAGGAAAATGTTCAGTTGGGTAGTTTGGGAAACAGAAATAAAAAGCACTGATCAGTTTCTGTTGATTCAATATCGTCATGGCTAAAACAGTTTTCAGACAACCAAGGCATTGCTTATATAAACGGACATCATTAGATGGAATATCCAGAAATTAAACTGATTTATCTTCTTGGTAGAAGCAGGTAGAACAGCTAATTAGAGCAGACATTGGAAGAGTTAATGAAGGGTTCGTGTGAAGATTCCAAGTCAATCAATTTCTACAATGTCATCTCAGACATCTACAAGATCTACAATGTGATCTCATTTTCAAGAGGAACACCAGGAATCACTTGAACTCCAGAAAACTCATTGGTAGGAAACTCAAGGAACTGTGGAATGAAAGCAAAGAGATTATTAAGGATACATTTGAATAGAGAGTACTGAAGACCAAGAAACAAAAGGGAGCAAAGAGGATGTCAGAACAAACGATAATCACCAAGGAAAGAAGTAAAGTTAAAACCCAGAAGGGCAAAGAACTCAGGAATTTAACGAAGAATTTCAGGGAACCATTAGAAGCGGCAAGACATAGTATTACAAAGGCACCTGTAATGACCCCGCAGATAGAAAGAGACATAGAAAGTCTTAATAAAGATCTTTGAACTTCAATCTGGTATGTTAAAGAATGCCAAGGAGCACATGATAAATTATTCAAAGAAGATCAAAGAAGCAGTATGTAGAAAATATTCCCTACTTATAAGAAAGTCTAGTAGTAGAAAATGAAATTAGATCAGCATGCCAATTATTACAGTAGCAAGTTGGAAGACTACAGGAATTAGACAGACTAATTATATCAAACTAGGAATCAAACTTCACAAGCAGGCTACAACTTTTATGATTAGTGGCTTTAATAACAGAGTTTTGCAAATTAGTTGTGCTGTAGCTTGAGACTTTCAAGAAGAGATTGGACTGCCATTTGTCAGAAATAGTATAGGGTCTCCCGCTTGGGCGGGGGGGGGGTTGGACTAGATGACCTACAAGGTCCCTTTCAACTCTGATTATCTGTTATCTGTTATCTGTACCTCTTCCTCCTTTTATCATCATCATCATCATCATCCTCATCCTCATCCTCATTCTCATCATTTTAGCCATTGTTTATCCACTGGAGGATGAAGTGCTCTTCCGCCTGTTTCCAACCAATATGGTCCTGAGCTTTCTTCTGCCAATTGGGCCCACGATACTTGCTGATGTCATCGATCCATCTTGTTTTGGATCTCTTTTGTGGACGTTTGATCAAGTGAGATCCATTCTATGACTGCCTTGATCCACCTGCTCTCAGTACTTCCTGCTATGTGACTGGCCCGTTTCCGTTTCAATTTTTTTACTCTCTTGATGATATCCTATCCTTTTGTTTGTTCTCTAATCCAATGTATGGGGTCTTTCTGTCTTGTCTTATAATGCCAAGCATGAACCTTTCCATGGCTCTTTGTGACACTCATAGCTTTTGTATCGATTGTGCGGCTAGTGTCCATGTTTCACTGGCATATATTAGAACAGGTAACACACACTGATCAAAAACTTTTCTCCTCAGGCACAGGGGGAGGTTGTTCTTGAAAATTATGCTTAGCTTGCTGAATGCTTGCCAACCACATTTAATACCGTTCCAATTTCCTTTATTCTATCAACTTCCATAGAGATCCATTGGCCAAGGTATATAGTAGTCTATTACATCTAGTTCTTCTCCAGATATAAAATAAATTCTTCCTTTGGTGAATTTGTTAAACCTAACCTGGTTCCTTTTCAGGTTTATTTTTAAGCCAAATGGTTCTGCTTTGTGCAGATTTTCTTTCCCTTTTCTTATACTCATGTGAATTTGGGGGAAGGCCTATCTAAGCCTCTTCCACATATGTTCTGCTTGTCATGGACTTTAAATATGTTTTTACCCACTTCACTTTGTTAACAGATCTTGCCTGTCGCCATCAGTATCACCTACCTTCCTTACCCTCCAGAGGAAGCAATGTAATGGTCACAAAGCAATAGAGGTTCTAACCAAACTATACCAGTAAATCTGAAGAATGATACAGTGGCCAGTTGGTTGGAAGAGATTAGACTATATGCCAAAGTCAAAGAAAGAAGACTCAATAGTGTAAACTACTCTGCAATCTTCTTTTTCTCATGCTAGCAAAATGCTTAGGTTTCTCCAATGCAGATTAGAATCCCAGTTGAAAAGAGAGATGCCAGATATTCAAGCTGGTTTTAGAAAAGATCAAGGAATAAGATACATTAGTGCCGAGGTACTCGGGATAATTGAGGAAAATTAAAGAATGTCAAAAAGAAATCAATATACAATGATTATACAGTGAGGCACATATTCTTCTTGACATTCTTATTTTTATTTTTATTTATTTATTTGATTTGTCAATCACTTACAAAATAATAGGTATAAGTATAAACATGAGTAAGAATACAGAAAATAGGTACGATTAAATGGGGACAATAGGACAGGGATGGGAGGCATGATGGTGCACTTATGCACGCCCCTTACAGATCTCTTAGGAATGGGGTGAGGTCAATAGTGGATAGTTTGAGGTTAAAGGAGTGGGGGTTTGAGGATGTAACTACAGAGTCAGGTAGTGCATTCCAGGCATTGACCGCTCTCTTGCTGAAGTCGTACTTTCTGCAATCAAGTTTGGAGCGGTTAACATTGAGTTTGTATCTGTTGTGTGCTCTTGTATCATTGCGGTTGAAGCTGAAGTAGTGATTGACTTGTAGGACATTGTAGCAGATAATTTTGTGTACTACGCTCAAGTCCAACCATAGGCAGCATAGCTCAAGGTTGTCCAAGTCCGAAATTTCAACTCTGGTGATATAGGGCAGTGATCCCCAACCTTTTTTATGCTGCGGCCCGGTACCGGCATCAGCTGGGTGCCGCCATCTTTTTTGATGAAAAAGTGCTTCCGGTGAGCTTTCTACCCGGAAAAGCTCACCAGAAGCACTTTTTCATCAAAAAAAGATGGCGGCGCCCAGCAACCAGCGGCCCGGTAGGACTTGTTCCGCGGACCGGTACCGGTCCGCAGACCGGTGGTTGGGGACCCCTGATATAGGGTATTCTGTTGCGAGCAGAGGAGTGTAGTACTCTTCTCGTGAAATACTTCTGGACTCGGTCAATTGTATTAACGTCTGATATACAGTGTGGATTCCAGACAGATGAGCTGTATTCGAGTATTGGTCTAGCACAGGTTTTGCATGCCCTAGTTAGAAATTCAATATTTCCAGAGGAGAAGCTGCGTAAAAGATTAGATTTACAACTCTTAATGCCTTTTTGGCAATGCTGTTACAGTGAGCTCTGGCGCTTAGGTCATTTGATATGAGAACTCCAAGGTCCTTGACAGGGTGAGGGTCATCAATGAGGTCATATCCACCTAGTTTGTATTTGGTGTACTGATTTATTTTTTTTACCAATGTGTAGGACAGAGCATTTGTTGGTTGAGATTTGGAGTTGCCAATTGTTTAACCATTCAGACACATAATCAAGGTCACTTTGAAGAGCAGTAGCATTGTCTGTGGTGTTGAATAGTTTTACATCATCCGCAAAGAGGACACAGTTGCTTATAAGGTGATTGCAAAGGTCACTTATATAGAGTATAAAGAGTGTGGGTCCTAGAACGCTGCCTTGGGGGACACCGCTGTTAACTGGAGCAGGGTTTGATATAGTGCTCCCTATTTTTACTATTTGTTGCCAGTTTGACAGGAATGCAGTAATCCACTTATGAAGGGATCCGGAAATGCCGTAAGAGTTTAGTTTTAACAGTAGTTTGTCATGTACCACTGAATCAAAGGGTTTGCAGAATTATAATTGATTATACAGTGAAGAGCCCATTTGTGCCGTAGTTGTGAGTTCTAGTCCCTTGTTAGGCACAAAGCCAACTAGGTCAACTTGGATCGTTCCA